TGTTGTGTAGATCGACGATAATAAAGTGTTAATCAATGACCGTGGAATATAGATTTGAGACAATGATGTTGGATTTGTGATGGTAGGTTAGTTAGTGAATAATGGTGGTGGTGTGTAAATCAGCGATGGTAGTGATAGTTGGTGGACGATAACGGTAGTCGAATGACAATGGTTGTGGTGGTGGTGGGTGGATGGCAATGGCGGTGGTGGCTGTAGATAATAATGGTGTGAAGCTTTCGAAGGAATGGTAGAGAGAGAGAGAATATGAAAGAACTTAATACATAATAATTTAAAAAGGGCAATATAGATATGGATAAATTACACTGACATCTCCTCAGATTTAGTCCAATTACATCCCACCCTTTTGACGTTCTAGAAATTACATTTCCACCCATGTGGTTAATAGTTTCATTTCACAAACCTTCCTACTTATATAAAAGGTAACAACTCCTAGTAAAAAAATAAAGAAAATTACATTGAAAAAAAAATAAAGTAAAAGAAAGGGGAAACAAATAGAAGAAGCAAAGCAAAGTAAAAAAAGAGAGTGGATGAGTTCAATATTTTTATTTAATTACAATGATAGGGGGTTAGTGTAATTTTCCAAATTTCAGGGGGTGATATATATTAAACTCAAATCTCAGGGGTGTAAGTGTAATTTACCCTATACGGCTTGTTTGGTTTGTTTTTGGGAGAGTTGTTTTTGAAAAAAATTTTGGGAAGAGAGTTTAGAAATTTTTTTGGTTTGTTTGGTAGTATATTTTGAAAGTAGTTTTGGAGTTTGGGAGTTTGGGATGATTTGATATTTTGTTGTAATTGAGTAGATGCGTGTGAGAGAAAAAGTGATTGAGAAGGAGAGAGGAGAGAGAAAAAGTGAATAATTGATGTGTAAGAGAGAGAAAGTGATTTTGAAAATTTTTTGAGAAAAATCTCAAATCAAACAATTTTTTGAATTTTTTTTTTTAAAACTCATATCTAAAACTCAAACCAAACATACCAAGCCCTGTAGAGCTCATCTATAATTCATTAGTGCATTTAAAAAGTCAACAAGACTTATAGGTACTTAAATATACTTTAAAAGAGCTAAATGATAATTATATTTAATTCTAATTGTCCAATCTTATGTAATGCTTCTCACTTGCTATTTCATATTTAAATGGCACTCATTCAAGTTTGCTTGTATTAAATAAACTTCACATTCATCAATTATCAAATACAAATTTAATGACATCATTGGCAGTTGTTTACTGCGCACACATTAATTTTAAGTTCACCTACATTTTTAAGTACTAGTAATGCTAGAGATTTTTAAAAAATTATCAAAATTTTTATTAAATATCTTATATAAGTATAGGAACTCATTTCATGTGAGCCTTACACTCATATAAGACATTTGGTAGAAATTTTGATAAATATTTTGGAAGTCTCTCACATTTTTCTTTGAGTACACTTCACAAATATATATATATTTTATTTTTTAAATACACCAACTACCACAATACTAAAATTATTCTCATTTTTAATTTTCCAAAACCCTAACTCATATCTATCCACCTACCATGATCACCTCCACCACTCCCCTTCCTTGCTATCCCTTATTTTTATTCTTTCTCTCATATTATTTATATCACTAGGATTTTGGAGAAAGGAGGAAGTGAGTAGAGGTGGAATGGGTAGAGGTTGTTGACATCAAGAAAGGTTGAGTGGGGTTATTAGAAGGATTGATGGGTGGTTGGTAGTGGCTGGGAGGTAGTGGCCGGCGGAGATAGAAGAGATGGAGAGGTACTAGGAAGAGTGGCAGGTTGCATAATTTTTATTTTTTTTGCAATTCTGCTCAAGAATGTAGTTGTAATAACAAAATTCAATTTTTTATGAGTGTGTTTGAAAATTTTGTGTATATAGGGGCTTTCAAGATCATCTTATGAAACTTTTTAACATGCCAATTCTACCCTTGTACACTTACTAGGGTTTTTTTAAATAAAAAAAATAAAATTGTTTTGGGTTTATTAAAAAATACACACAACCAATAAAAGAAAAAAAAAAAGAAAAGAAAAATGGAATTTAGTGCTTTTTGAATAGAATATGCAATTCAGTATTTGATTAAATTGGTTCCACATTATGATATGAATAAAAAAAATAAGGGGAACTTATAGTCATAATAAGTGAACTGATTGTTCAACAGGTTCTATGATAGTTAATAGTATTTTTCATTAAACATTATTAAAAAAGTCACTAATTGTTAATTTTCAGCGATAGTTTAAAAAAATTGTCACAAAAAACGTTATTAATTATAAATTTTAGCGACAGTTTAAAAAAATTGTTGCAAAAAATATCACTAATTTTCAGTTTTTAACAACAATTTGAAATATTCATCATCGAAAAACGTCACTAATTGTAACTTTTAATGACAAATTATAAATATCGTGATAAAAAAGTCCTTAATAGTTAATTTTTAGTGGCATATACAAAAATTATTTTTAGTGATGATTTTAATAGGACTAACTTTCAATAGGATTTAATGAAAATTAAGTTTAACTATTAAGACCTATTGGTAGTTTACTAAAAAAATAATTATTGAATGAAATGTAACTACATTTTACATATTTTTTTACATAGATTTGTTTTGTTTTGTTTTTTTTCTTCTCTTTCCAAATCTAACCCAAACCTATGATCTAAATACCATCTTAAAGAGGAAAAAACAAATTAAAAAAGGGGGACAAAATTGGCATAGGAGGCATATATCATATGCAATTTTCACTCTTGGAGAAGGCATATGTGTAACCTTCAAATTGTCCTATAAACTTTCAAATAAAATATAAAAGCAAAAAAAAGATATATTTGACATTTCTGATCTAACAATGGTTAAAAAAAATTGCCATTCAAGCCTTCAAAATTTTGTATGTTAAATTTTTTTTAAAGGCTTACGTGTTTAAATAAAAACAATCTACTAGGCTAGATTTATTATATCACCTTGCTTGGTTATCATTTTTCAAAAATACTTTTCAGAAAATTCTACTTTCTTATTTTTCGTATTTTTTTGTTTTTACTAAATTTTTTAAATATTTTGAGCAATTTTTTTAATTTTTAGATATACCTAATATAAATATACCTAAAACGTAAAAAAGAATTGAAAAAAACCTTTTAAAAATTCATTAAATACCAAAAATACAGAAAAAATACAAGAATTCAGTACATTTTTTTATATTTTTATGTATTTATTAATTGTTAAAAATATTTTTTCACAAATTTTTTATTTTTTAGATACATCTAAGTAATGTGCATCTAAAAAAGTAAAAAAAAATGTTTAAAATTTAAAAAATATTCACTAAAAACAAAAAAATACGAAAATCAAAAAACTCAATTTTCAAAAAATTTAATTCAAAAAACTCAAACCAAACACATTACTTTAATATTTCTTGAAGTCTTTTATAAGTTCCTATCGTTAAAATAATGGAAACAAAAGAATTTAACATTTTCTTTTTGTTATACAAAATTCGACATTACTCAAAACATGTCAATTGCCAACCACTGTTGCAAATTTGAGTGGAACACAATTTACATGTCAATTATAAAAGATGCTAAATGATTTGGTGAAAGCTATTTTTTTGACTTGTAAAAAAATAATTATGAGTAAATTATAAATACACTCCTTAAAGTTTACTTAAAGTACATATTGTTTCTTGTGAATTAGGAAATTATAAATATCCCTTTATTAGAATATTTTATTTAATAAAATTAACTAAAAAAATAAAATTTATAATTGCTCTCCTATACAATAATAAAATTACCTAAATTATTAATTAAAACATATTTCCAATATCATTAAAAATTGTTAATTGATTTTATGATTTATTAATAAAATAGACGATTTATTATGAAATTAGAAACTTTAAGAGTGAAATGTAATTTTTAAAATTATAGATGATAATTTATATTTTAATCAAACTTCAAGGATGTATTTGTAATTTACCTAGTAATCAAATAGCTAAACATTTCTCTTTTTGTACTAATAAAATAGCTAAAGGGTGTTAGTGTAATTAACCACAAGACCAAATATGTTATGTTCCTTATTTATGGGAGCTTTTACTTCCACACTCCTATTTCTATCTGTGCACATCCTTCTTAGTTCATACATCTAAAAAAATAAAAAATAACAAATATTTACTCGTTACATACACTTTTATTCCAATTATACCCCCATATCTAAAGGATACACACACAACTTTCCAACACTCTCAATTCACACAGGGTCAACATGCACACAACTATGCCTTGGTAGGAGAAGCCAACCGGTTCCAACCTCCATTGCAGTCACGACTGAGAACCAGGGAGTTCTATTGTAGTCTCCTACATAGGGAGAACCAGCATACTTTCAACCTTCATAGAAGACCTCCATTGGCTCATTCGGAAGTACATCATTGAACTAATATGTAAGGTTCAAAAGTATAGTTTCGAACCAAACACGTTGATTTGGAAATAACAGTATCAAACCAATGTATTCGGATGTTGAAAGTCGAACTAATATGTTTTGTTCAGATGTTGTTGGTCGAATCGATGCGTTATTTTTTTATCCTAGTTTAACGAATGGCAGATGAGGTGGCGTCGATCGTCTTCTCAGGCGGATGAGGTGGCGGCGACACAAAACTACCCCTGTAACCTCTCACTTCGCGATGTAACACCACCGTCGTCGCAGCTCTCACCATCTTCGTGATCCTCAATTCGCAGAGAGAGAGAGTTGCAAATAGTGGAGTAAGGGAAGTGTTTCGATTTGAGAAGAGGAGGGCTAGGAGAGAAGACGAAGGGAAGGACTGACGATCGAAGGGGATGGGGGTCAGCGGTGGGGAAAGTTAGGGTTAGGGTTAGGGTTAGGGTTAGGGTTAGAATTATGATTAGGATTGGTTAAGGTTGGGATTAGGATTTTAGTGAAAGGAGAAAAGGATAATTTAATAATTTTACTTTAAAATAAAAATGTAATAAAAAAATATTATTAAGTGTGTAGAAGGAGGGGAAGTGTTCTATGCAAATGGAAGCACCCCTTATTTATAGGCACACACTGTTTTACTGAGCAAAAACCTCCAGTCCATCCATTGTCACAATCTCCGGCGGCATAAACTTCCAAGTTTCAATTATGACACTCGTTAGCTCCACTCACTCACCACCACCACCATCACCATCACCACCAGGAGGACCAGCACCACCGCTCATCTTCTTATCCTCCTCAACCCTCTCTCTCCCTCCCCACCACACCTCCCAACAACAATGTCCACTCTCTCCCCCACCTCACGCGCCGCCCCTGACTCTCCCTCCTTCTCCACTCCTCCTCCTCCTCCTCCTCCTCCTCCTCGCTGGCCAGGCGCCAAGCCCATCCCCCTCGCAGTCTCCCTCGCAATCGGCATAATCTTCCGCTTCGCAGTCCCCAAACCCTCCCATCTCTCAAACCAAGCCTGGCAATTACTCGCAATCTTCCTCACAACAGTCGCCGGACTCATCCTCGGTCCCTTGCCTGTCGGCGCCTGGGCCTTCGTTTGCCTCACCATCTCAGTCCTCTCCCGAACCCTAACTTTCGCCGCCGCCTTCGCCGCATTCACCAACGAAGTCATTTGGTTGATCGTCGTCTCGTTTTTCTTCTCCCGAGGCTTCGTTAAAACAGGGCTCGGTGATCGAATTGCCTTGTACTTCGTTAAATTGCTCGGGAAAAGCACTCTAGGGTTGGCTTATGGATTGGCTTTGTGTGAGTTGCTTATTTGTCCCGCGGTTCCGAGTACTACTGCCAGAGCTGGCGGCATTTTCTTGCCAATTATCAAGTCGTTGGCTTTCTCAGCCGATAGTCGACCCAAAGACGCTTCGGCCAAGAAGCTTGGGGCTTATCTTATCCAGTCCCAAATTCAGGTTAGCATTATCATATCCATTTACGTTTCAGTTGAATTTATGTTAATTTATGCAGTAAAGGATTGATTTTCACTGAAAAGATTGCATATCTTTATTTATCACAAATAAAAAAAAAGAAGATTGCAATGTCTGTCTTATATTTGGTTGTCTCACATAAGATGTGATGTTTGGACTTTTGCAATTTAGGTAGAATTTAGAGATTAAAATGTTAAAATTTTAAATTGCTGCCATTGGAAACTTGAAACCATAGCCGCAAGTAATGGTCTGGAAAGTAAGATAATAATTGTCTTTGGGGCTACTATTTTTTGTTGTATCTAGACCTGAAATTTATAATGACTAGCGACTTGCACATTCACGCAAGTCACTACATGTTGTGCGCTACTAAAATAAGTAAAAAAAACACCCGTTTCGTTGGGTTTTTGAATCCATTTGCGAAAACCCAAAACATGACAACATAAATTTCAAATTTCTTTTTGAACCCGAGTTTTGAAACCCAAACAAGTTTTCACACAAGTTTTCAAATCACACAAGTTTTTGTATATTTGTCATTATTCAGTAATTTTATAAAAAAATTTCATAAATGTGAAACGCTTTGAATGTATGTAGATTGAGTGGATATGAAATCGGAAAAGAAGTGTTAAAATTTCTAAAAGTTCATAAAAATAAAAAAATTTGAAGTGAAACTTTGCCCCATGCATCTAAAAAGTAAATATAGACAAAAAAAAAACGCAAACTAGTTTTGAAAATTCATAACCAAAAAAGTTTTGAATTCAATTTTTTAAAAACTATTTTCAAAATATGCAACTCAAAAACTAGTTTGAAAACTCATACCCAAACAGGTTTTGAATTGTCAAAACTCTTTTCAAAACTAATTTGAAAACTAATTTCAAAACTAAACCAAATGCACCCAAAAAATTCACTACATATTGTGTTCTATTAAGGTGGTAAGAGTCTTTTCCACACCCAAGGTCATACGATTGAGTCCCATTCTCCTCTCTTTCTCTCTCTCTCTCTCTCTCTTTCTCTAGTAGAGAAGTGAGAAATCCACTTGGCATTGAGGAGAGACATTTCGGAGAAAGTTTCAAAACACCACCAATGTTGTTTACTTTATATATAGTTTTAAAACTTATACCCACCTAAAAGTTCATCCAGTTATATGAAAGACTTTTCCTACTACTTCTCTTCTGATGTGGAACTTTTTTTTTTTCAACACATGTGACAAACAATTTCTCCCTCGTGTGAATCAAACATTGAGTCTAGTTCCCCTTGAGTCTAAGATACCACTCTCCAACACCGTGCTTGAGTAATTTTGTGAGCCCACTATCATCCATGTTCATGGTGGATAGAGTCCACATTATGCAATATCATTGCCAAACACACATTGTTTGAAACTTATGCACATATGAAAACTTTGGTCTGTGGACTATAAGTGCTGAGTCCATCTAATGCATATTATGACTTTCTTTTTACTTTTCTTCCGATGTATTATAATATTGTTTTGAGGTTACATTAAAATCAAAATGGATATTTACTTTTGCTTTATTGTGGATGATTTGTAAAAATCTATTACTATTCAAGAATAATTCGATTTAGTAACGCACCTTATGTTAAAGGGAGATTGTTTGTTGATTTATTTTTTATAAAATTTTCAATTTTTTTGAAGTAGATGAGAAATTGCCATTATAGGCTAAATTTAGAAACTTAATCAATGCTATCATAAGGTTCTAATTGCTCTTTATTAATCAATGCTATGGAATTGAATGACATATTCAAAAAATCTTCTCATATGTGCTTTCTAATTTTTCAATGTTATATTTTCAGATAGAATATTTTGACACTTAATTTGTCTTGAAAATGAAAAGTGCTTCTTGTGAGTTCCATTTCCCTTTTAATTAGTATTTCCTACTTTTCCAATCTATTTTATGAATTGAAATGCTTCTTGCATTATGTGATGTGAATAATATAGAATCCAATTTTCCATATGATAGACAACTTGATAACTATGGCAGTGGTCAGCTGTGAGGGTGATGGTTGATTTCTAAGGAGATGGAATGTTGTGTTTTGAACTAATTAGGGATAATGACAGTAACAGGTGGATGTGTAAAAAATATTGGTTGCTTTATCATTGTATGCTTTTTATTTTTTTTATTTTTTATTTTTTATATGAATTTCAAGAAAGTTTTGGTTGGCTCTTTTTTAATTTGTTATCAAAATATTTGGCCAAGTTGAGATATATTCTAGGATCCCCTTTTACATTTTTGCAATGTCATTGATGTAGGTGTGTCATGACTCATGGCTTTGAAGCTTTGCTAAATGGACGCAGGTATCCATGTTGTGTTGGCTGTGTCTAGGTTTATTAATGCTTCATAAGCCCAAATCTTGGGACTAATTACATGGCTGATTCATCCAAGTATGTAATTGTCTGCTTACATACAGTAAGTGGCACAAAGTTTGTAAAATGGGTGTTTGAGATGGTTTTATTATGGTGGAGTAATGGAACAAACTAAGAACTTTACCATAACATTTGTGAACTAGGAATCAGCTCTTTTCTTTCAGAAGGGATGCATTGAATACAGCTCAAGAAATTGGCTTGTTGACATCCTACATCCATATCCATTCTTATAAACATACTCATGTACATCATTAAGAAAACACGATTTGATAGGAGATTCATTCACTTCCTGGATGTCATCTTCCTTCTCTTTTAGATTTTAATTTGTGTTATTCTAAAAAAATGAATATTGATAGAGTATATTTCCTAGGTTTCAAATTGAGGTGCTCTTTTTATAGTGGTCCAAAGTGAAATTGATGATGTATTAGATGAAAAGATTTACACTTTGCTTGGTTTGGTTTGAGTCTTCCAAAAACACTTTTTAGAAAATTCTACTTTCTTGATTTCTGTATTTTTTTGTTTTTACTAAATTTTTTTAATATTTTAAGCAATTTTTTTTAAAAATTTTTTAGACACACCTAAGATAAATATACTTAAAAAGTATAATTTTTGTAATAAAAAATCTTTAAAAATTTCACTAAATACCAAAAATACAAAAAAGAAAAGAAGAGAAATTCAGTACATTTTTTTTTTGTATTTTTGTGTATTTATTAATTTTGTAAATATTTTTCACAAATATTTTACTTTTTAGACACATCTAAGGACGATGCATTCAAAAAAGTAAAAAAAATGCTTAAAATTTAAAAAATATTCACTAAAAACAAAAAAACACGAAAATAAAAAACTCAATTTTCAAAAAACTTAATTCAAAAAATTCAAACCAAACACGCTATAATTTCTCGAATATGTTCATATGATGAATTCTGTGCATCTTGACAGGTTGATATATGAAAGATTACTGTGTATTGTCTAGGGGTATTATAAATCCGACCTTTAATGGGGACTCTGGATGCCCTTAGTATATGAAATCCTTCCATAATGTATGCCATTTGAATCCAATTGCATCCTTTAAAATGTAGTCATGCATATATAGAAATGTAAATCAAATGTAGGTTGGTTGGTCAATAAAACATTATTCTATTCCTGCAACTTGGTCAACCATGCAATGGTCCTATGTGTGGCTATGTCTCAGGCTATATTATAAATACTGTGGATGTTGTAGCCTATTCTTGTTTTATTTTCTCTTATATTCTGTTACTTTTAAGTGTCTCATCGTGGTAATATCTTCATGACTGGTATGTTTCTCTTGTTGGTGTGTGACAGTCTGCGAATAACTCAAGTGCTATTTTCCTGACTGCCGCAGCTCAAAACTTGTTATGTGTCAAATTAGCTGAGAGTCTTGGGGTTAAAATTGCAAATCCATGGGTTTCTTGGTTAAAGGCTTCCAGTTTACCTGCATTTATATCTCTTTTGGCTACCCCATTTGTCCTATTCAAGCTCTTTCCCCCTGAAATTAAGGAGACACCAGATGCTCCTGTCATGGCCACACAGAAACTGGAGCAGATGGGTCCTATCAAAAGGAATGAGTGGGCGATGGTTGGTACCATGCTTATTACGGTTGCATTGTGGATCTCTGGGTAAGAAGAAACATTTGTTTTGCTTTATGTGGGTCACCGATCTTTGTTACTATATCTTGACGTGGTAACTGGTTTGCTAATGAAGCTAAGTTCTCAAATATTATGAAGCCATTCCTCTCATAGGATGTGACAATTTTTAGATATGTTGTTGCTGACCTAAACATTTTAGGAGTGCTAATATTCTCAGCCAATCATACAACCATCTGAATCTGCCTGCTTTTTCTGATGGTTGGAATTTTAAGGGAAAACAGTTTGGGTTGTTAGCAGTTGGTCTTCCAAACTCATGTATGAAACATGGGATCAGTTGAGCCATCCCTATCCAACTAATATGCCTTTTTTTTTTGCTCTTCTTTTTTCTTTAAACTGGAAGTGCAATATTTTTTGTGTCTTGAGCACATTACTATGACAAAGTACTATTACTTGATTTTATTTTTGATATGCACATTATAGTTTACAATACAGTAAAGTACACGGATCACCTTGAGGTTTGGCCATATTATACTTATTACTCTTGTGGTGTCAGAAACTACACTAACCTTTAATGATTTCTGATTATTTTTTTTTGAGCTCATGTATAACATAATGCTAAAAATTATATATATGTATATTCAGTGTATCCGGGTTGTACCTATATCTGTATTGAATTATATCTGTATCCTGTATCCGTATCCATGCTTCATAGTTTGTCTTGATAAAGGCTCTTCTCTCGCTAAGTCTGGTCTGAGCATGCTTTGCCTCTAGAAAGTGGTCAGGTCACTTAGAGCCACAGAGAGGAATCCCATTGAGCTAGGATGTCTAGTTGCCTTCCATGTGGCCCACGTGCCACTTTGCAGAGCTGACACGACACTTTAGTCTCGCAAGAGAAGCCAACGAAGGGGTGACATGGTGATTTGTACTCATGTACGCACAGACAGTAATCATTTTTAGATCTCTCTCTCTCTCTCTCTCTCTCTCTCTCACACACACACACACACACACACACACACACACACACACACGTGCATAATTTGCTTGTTTGTGTGGGTGAAACTTAAAATGGAACCTCATATCATCTTTATGACTAAATATTGAAGTAGTCAGTTGCCTTAAAACTAATCCCCACTGTGGTTACTGACTGCTGTTATTGCTTCTTCTGTCTTATTATTTTATTACTGTGGTGTACTGAACAACTCAATCGGTTTGCAGACAGGCTCTTGGTATAGCTAGTGTTGTTGCTGCAATGCTGGGCTTGTCAACACTTCTGTTGTTGGGAGTGCTTGATTGGGATGATTGCTTGAGTGAAAAGTCAGCATGGGATACCTTAGCCTGGTTTGCAGTTCTAGTAGGCATGGCAGGTCAATTGACAACCCTTGGTGTTGTGACCTGGATATCTGATGGTGTGGCCAAATTGCTCAAATCTTTCTCATTGGGTTGGCCTGCAGCATTTGGTATCCTTCAGGCAGCATATTTTTTCATCCACTATCTATTTGCCAGTCAAACTGCCCATGTTGGAGCCTTGTACTCTGCATTTCTTGCAATGCACTTGGCAGCTAAAGTGCCTGGTCTATTAGCAGCGCTAGCATTGGCATACAATACAAATCTTTTTGGTGCACTAACACATTATAGCAGTGGCCAGGCTGCAGTGTACTATGGAGGTACTGCTTTTTTCCTTTTGGAAGGAATATGGTTTTCTTTTTCTTCCTTTTGATTGCAGCGCAGTTATATGACTTCAATTTGTAATAGATATATCTTTTTATTTTTATTTTATTTATTTATTTATTTATTTTTTCTGAAGTCTTTTTGGGCAAGTCTGTAATAAAATGTTCATATAGCAGTAGTTTCAGTTTATTAAGAATGAAAATTTATTAGGAAATATTGCATGAGTCGAACTTTTGACTAACTGCAAGTGTCAGGAACAAAATAAGCATTGTTGCGGGGGAGAGAGAGATGAGTTGTGTAGATTACTAAGTGAAGAAGAAAATGAAAAAGCATAAAAAATAGAGATTATGGATGAAGGTGGGGAAGCGGACATTGAAGGTAGCGAAATCAACCTAGTAAACTGAGGTGTGTTTAGCCAAAAGTTTAGTGAATACAGCTAGGATGATTCAGCCACCTCGTGACTGGTTTGAGCAGATCATGGTTTAACTATGTGATACAAATGAATCTAACATGCCATGGTCCTCGAAATGAAATGGTTTTGTTGTTCATATGAAGCAAGAAAGGAAATCAGTTGGTGGTTCCAGTGGTTGAGTTGACCAGTTGGTCTGTTGTAGTTTTTAAAACATTGAACCTAGCGGCCTGAACCCTCCCCAACCTTGTTGAGTTCCTCCCCAAACCCGTCACATTGGGGATAGTATGGGCCAATTTACTGGACATTTGCTATATTGCACTCACTATGTTTTAATGGGTTGACACAGCTGAGGTTCGATGAACATTAGCAATGGGTGGAGAGAGATATGGTGTTGGGAGCTAAAATAACAATTGAGGCAGAGGATTTGAGCTTAGAATAGAATGGGGATGGAAACCATCAATGACAACAAATATGAAAGGTCCCTCAGAGAATTTGTTAAGAGATGATTTTGTAAAGTATGTATTATGGTTGGGGTAGGGCGGGACTCCTATATTTTTTTCTTTCTCCTTGTGTCTTTGTTTTTGACTCTGGCAGGTTTAAATGTGGTCGAAGTATCAGATAAATCCGGTGATATGTAGAATTGTATCATTACAAATGCTCATTTGCATAGCTATTTCTTCTTCGTCTTCTTCTTCTTCTTCTTCTTCTTCTTCTCTCTCTCTCTCTCTCTCTCTCTCTCTCTCTCTGATTGAGAGTTGAGATAATGTTTTCTGGGTTTGGTACTGATGAGCATTATTTTTTTCCCTTATTTGACAGGTGGTTATGTAAAACTTCCTGATGTTTTTAGACTGGGCATTTTGATGGCCCTTGTTAATATAGTAATATGGGGACTAGTTGGAACTCCCTGGTGGAAGATTTTGGGGCTTTATTGATGTTATTTTTGTAGGTAAAACTATACTTTCAACTGTTATATGTATATCTTCTCTTGTTGGCAATTTTGTGTTAGGTTTTTTTTTTTTTTTTTTTCGTCGTTTTTGTTTTTTTTTTTTGTAGGAAAAGAATATACAACTTGAGCACAACTTCCGCTGAACCTTGCTAGAATCTGAGAACTCTACTTTTTTAAGTACAAAAACACTGTTGCCTTTTTTAAAATGATGGTCATCATATTTATGCTACTATTGTTGTTGTGTAGTTATTCCTTGAACATTCTATTTCACTGCTGATTCTATCTAAACAAATATTATTGTGAACTCCAAGGTTCTGTTTGGATCTGGCTAATTGGATTTGAAATACTGAAGTGAAAATCTACAAGACATCATTTGGATAAAAAAGGGTCATATGGATTTGAAATCCCACTATAAATAATGACCTACGAGGCGTTGAGATCCACTTTTATGAGATGAACCCGTCTCCTTCTCATTATCAACGCTCTCTCTCTCTCTTTCTGTCCTCTCTGTACTAAAAGTTTCTTCTCTAATCTTAAATCTAAACAGCTAAATCCTATTAGTGTAATATTAGGATCTCGCGATCCTCGGCCCCACTTTCTGCTGTATATATGTATATATTTATATCTTTAACCTATGTTTTTATTTATTTTTTCTGAATAATTTATGTATATCTATCTTGTTTTGGTTTGGATGATAACACCTGAGTAACAGTCATTTTTCCTAAGAAAGATCAACAAATACATAGCCAGAATTCCACAACACACAAAAATCAACTAAGCGAGTTGAACTCTAGATCTCAAAAGCCAAGGCATTAATATTGTCAATTAGATTTGGCAAGTTGATAAAAAGACATGATTTTAATATGAGGATACATGTTGAGAAATGACAGTGTAGATGATAATAAAATCATATATTATGCGACAACCACCAAGTTGCTTTGGTGTAGTACACCCTAGTCACAAGTTGCATGATGTAAGAATTTGAAGAAATATCCAAAAGAGGAGCCCCAGTTTTCCAAATGATATTGACATGTCCTGTTTATATGATAAGGACCTTAGCCCTTATTTAATTATCATAATAGTGATGTTGCTTGTGGAAGAGGTGAATTGGCACTGCCTGATGAGGTGTTCTAGAAGTCAATAAATTTGTAGTAGTGAGAGAGAGAGAGAGAGTGTGTAGATCTTTAAGTGAAGGATAAATTATACTGACATTTTTTGATATTTAATCTAATTTTATCTTATTTTCAATGTTTTGAAAATTATATTTTTATTTTTGTGATTTGTAAGAATTTGAAGAAATATCCAAAAGAGGAGCCCCAGTTTTCCAAATGATATTGACATGTCCTGTTTATATGATAAGGACCTTAGCCCTTATTTAATTATCATAATAGTGATGTTGCTTGTGGAAGAGGTGAATTGGCACTGCCTGATGAGGTGTTCTAGAAGTCAATAAATTTGTAGTAGTGAGAGAGAGAGAGAGAGAGAGTGTAGATCTTTAAGTGAAGGATAAATTATACTGACATTTTTTGAGATTTAATCTAATTATATCTTATTTTTTAATGTTTTGAAAATTATATTTTTATTTTTGTGATTAATGGTTTTATTTCACAACTTTTTATTTATATAAAAGGCAATAGCTCTTAGTAGAAAAATAAAAAAATTACATTGAAAAAAAAGTAAAGCAAAAGAAAGGAAAAAAAAAAAAAAAAGGAAAAAAAAAAAAAAAAACACAAAAGAAGTAAAGAAAAGCAGGAAGAGAGAGAGTGTATAAGTTTAATGTTTTTATTTTGTCTAAATAATTATAATGACAAGGGATAGAGTAATTTTTCAAACGTCAGGAATGATATGTATTAAATCTAAACTTCAATGGTGTAAGTGTAATTTATCCTTAAATAAAAGGTTCTATTCAATTTTTTTTACCGTGACTACCTTTTGCTTAAAGTAACCAGAAATAAAAAAATAAAAAAACACAAAAACACACAAACAAAAAAAAAAAAAAAACCAAAAGAATTAATTTTTAAAAAATTGCAACCAAACAATAATTTAAAAAAAAAAAAAATCCTATTAGAGTCATTTCTTTGACAGTAACTTGGACTATAAATGAGCGTCAGGGTAAATTACATTGACCTCATAATTTGATAAAAATTTATTAAGTTTCACAAGTTAAGTATAATTAAATTGAGTTCTTTTAATTTTTATCAGTAATTTGTTAGTTGAATAGATAGAAAAATGATATTATTATCTGTTTACACTAAAATATATATTTTATCTTATTTATTTATGTGTCTTCACACTATTTACATTAGTTTTGATCACTTTACCATTCTAAAAAGCGGTTAATATAGTTATTGTAAACTTGTGGAGCTCAACATATTTTTTGCAAACTTAGAGGGAGGTTAGCCTAATTTACCTTTTACAATTTTTTTTTTTTTTTTTTTTGTTGAAATTTAGACCAAGTTTGGTAACTCTTAAAAAATCTAAAAAGTCAAAAAGTCACTATCCTATTTAAATCATATCATCTTATTTAAGTCACATCACCTCTCTAACATATTACTTCAAACCCAACCCAAACTCAACTCATATTTTATAAAAAGTCAAAAAATACACTTATTTAGTCTTTCCAAACTTGACTTTAATAAGTACAAGCAATTATTATTCACTACTGTATGCGACATGATACACATAAGATTCAAACCATTCATCGGTGTGGCCTTGTGTAGAATCCACGCCAATGAATAGTCAGAATATTATCGCACATGAAACTAAATAATTTTTAGATAAGTACAGTTATCTTGTATAATATTTTCTTAAATTTAGCAGAGTGTTTTGATAAGCAAGTTTTTGAGGACAGTTTCTTGAGATTTCATGTGAAGTGGAGTAGCTTTGCTTGTCTAATATACAAATCAGCTCATGAGCCAAGCTCTTAAAACACTGCTGCACCATATAACCTCTCTTCAATTTTTATTTATTTATTATAAAAAATATTTGAAATATTTAAAAGGCTTTTTTTTCCATGATTGAAAGAGGTGAAAGACAAAGTATTGAGCAAAGATTCTACTTTACCATACTTTTCAACAATAGCCTTTGGACAGCACTCAAAAAGAAAATAAAGAAAGCAAGCAAATAAAGAAAAGCTGCCTACCATCAAGGGGTCTACACTCTACAAAGGCAACCCACCTAACCCCAAATCTTTTTCCTAATTTGTTGCTTTTTGATTTTTCTTAAAATTTTTATTTTGTTTTTGTTGGAGACTGTGTTTGGGTTTTATCCTATGCATATAATACTTTCATAGGGCCTATGTAGGATGATCTACCACCCTCCCCAAAACAAAAAGACCACTGTCTTTCCTAGTCTCTAAACAATCACATTGGAACTCATGAGGGATGTTTCACTCTCAAAGTAAGGCTTCGTTTGGGAAGTTACTATTTTAGTAGATTATTTTAGTTTTTGACTATTTTAGTAGGTTAAAATTTTCGTGTTTGGGAAGATAATTGAATTTTTTTATGGTTAGATGTGATGTTTGTGAGAGAAAAAGTGAAATGATTATGAATTTAATGTGATATTTTGTCTTATTAACTATTTTTGCCTATTTTATCTTTTTGTGAATTTTAGGCTAAATTGGGCTATTTTTTTTTCTTCCCAAACACCCCCTAAGTTTGTGTGTGTGTTTTTCATATCACTTCCAAAACATCTTAGGTTGGTTTGGGATTTGAGTTAATTTTTAATTTTTTGATTTTTTAATTATTTTAATTTGGAGTTAAAAATTTTCGTTTGTGATAAATTTTTTAGATTTTTTGACTTTTGTAAGAGAAAAAATCAAATAATTATGATTTGAATGTGACATTTTATCTTATTAGCTTTTTAATTTATTTTATTTTTTTTTGACTAAAATAACAAAAAAAAAAAAAAAAAAAAAAAAAAAAAAAAAACTAGACTTTTTGACATACTCAAACTAAGGTGTCTATCCCACTCTTCTGTAAATAGAATAGCCCTCTCAATAGAAAGCCATGTGATGATTGTTTTACAATCTCTATGGTTCATTCAAATTTTAATCCCTATGGTGCCTTGCCTTGCCTTTGTGTGTTCAAATTTGCTTTTTGCTTTTGAGTTCAAGTTTTTTATTTTTATTTTTATTTTTAGTGGACTCATTGTTTAATGTTTAATCTAGAACTATTACAAGATCAACTATACTTTACATATATAAATAATACTTTTATAAAATATTATGATGTTTAGATATATATGTGGTAAGAATATAAAAGATAACATCATAAATGAATATATTCAAGGAATAGTAAAAGTAGCACTAATTGAATATAAGTCAAAAAAAGAATATGCTAAGATGATTTGATCATGTACATTATAGATATAATAGTGAGAAAGATGAATTTTTTTTTCTTTTTATTATCAGGAAAGTAAAAATTTATTAAAAACATAAAATTAAAGGTATAAAAAAATACAATATATTGAGAGAGATTCAGATAGTACAATAAAGTATAAGGAAGATGATATGATAAAGGGTAAATGAAAATGTTAAGCTCATAATAGACTAAAATTAATATGGGATGCAATACTAAAAAAAAAAAAAAGAGTATTGAATTTATAGTTAACACTTAGTAGAGTGAAATGATGAAAAAATAATTCATCTCACAGATTTTACTTATTCATATAGTTAACTCTATCCTATCTAAGAACCAGAACTCTATCCTCTCTATAAAATATAGGCTACTCTACTGGATTGAAACACAAGTGGCAGTTTGATTTAATTTGGTCCAGTCCATATAGATATAAAAAGTTTTTTTAAAAAATAATCAAAAGAACTTTACTAATAATGAAAAAACTGGCTCAAACATAAGCCAAACAAAAATCAGCATGTATGAGGTAAGTATGATTTGGTTTAGCAATAAATTAATGACCGAACTATTACTTGCGATTTTATGAAATTTGTTACCAAATTAGACCGAATCATTAAAATGTAGTCTAGTTCAATTATGAGCTATGAATTTTTAAAAATTTTATCATTATTTACTATATAATTCCAAAATATTATTCATAACTTATGAATTGTAATATTAGTTCCACCACTATACAAAAGTATATTTGCAAAAGTAGAAGATTAAAACTTATGGATATAGATTTGCTACAAATAAGATATTTGAATTTACCATTGGTAACAAATTATATATATATATATTTAAATGGTTCAGTTTAGTTCTAAATTTGATCAGAAATTATAAAGTATGAATCGGATCGTAAAG